CAAAACAGTAATGTACACACAAGCTACCCAAGAGTCTTGTTAAAACGCAGATTCTGAATAGGCCTGGGTACAGCCTGAGATTTTGCATTTTTAATAAAGTGATGCTCATACTGCTGGCCCAAAGACCAAGGAACTTGAAGAAAACTTTCAGTTATAGAAGAAAAAAAGAAGGAAAAATGTCATCTCAACTTTGGTTCTGAGTAGAAATGTAAAAAGAGAGGCCCCTTCTGAGATTTTGAAGCCACTGGTTGACCATACCTGTGTTTAGATCTATTCAACTAGGCCTATTTTGACTATTTGCATGGTCCCAAAACTCCAAGGGGTAGTGTCTTAATATAAAGTAGACCCCAGTCTTAAGTGCTTCCAGACACATGACAAAAATAGAATCAAATCCCGTGAGCATAAATGCTCTCTCAACCCATGTGTGATGGAAGTCTCACAGAGAATTTCAGTATAACATTAAAGGAAATAAACCTTCACAAGCAAAAGTTGGCAGAATCAACAAACAACTGAACAATAGGACCAAAGCACAAAGATTTCAGACACTGAAATAAATGGGATCAGAATATAAAATAATTATTTAGGGTATATGAATAAATAAAAAAAGAGCCAAAAATGAGTAGAGTTAGGGACTATGAAAAATGATCAGGCCAACTTAAAACACACACATAAATTGAGAAATATGATTTAAAATTATAACTTAACAAAGGGTTGAATGGCAGAATGGATACATTTGCAGAGAATTCATGACCTGGAAGAAACTGCTGAAGAAAATATACAGAAAGAAACACAGAAAGAGATGTAAATAATGACAGGGATATTAAGAATGCGGAAAATATGATGAGAAGGTCTAACAAATGTTTGTTTAATCACAGCTCCAGTAGGAGATCATAGAAAGAGGAAAAAGGGCAAAATATTTAAAAGATAATGTCTGAGAATTTTCTAAAAATTTGGAAAGGCAAGCTAGTCTTCATATTTAAGAAACACAAAGCACTCCAAGCAGAATTGAAAAACCACAACCAACCAACTCATACTTAGACATGAAGAACCACAACATCAAAGCAACATTTTAAAACCAAGCAGACAAAAGACAGATTACTTACAAAAGAACAGAAATTAGACTCACAGCTGACTTCCAATAGCTACAATGAAAGCCAGAAGACAGAGCTATGAGAAAATGATAAACTTATTCAAACTATCTTTCAAAAACAAGGGAGAAGGAAAGATTTATTTAAAAAAAGACAAATACATTAGCAAACAAACCAAAACAAAGCCTCTTCCAGAAATAAAAGAGAACTTCCTTAACCTGATAAAGGCCTATCTATAGCTAACACCACCACACTTATTAATAGAATACAAATGCATCCCCTTTACAATCAGGAACAAGGTAAGTGCGCCTATTGTCACATTCTAGTCAACATGGTCTTGGAATTCTGAGGAACAACAGAAAAACAAGAGAAAAAGATATAAGGATCTGAAAGGAAGAAATTAGACTGTCAAAATTTTCAGATAGCATGTATGAGCAACCTGCCCAAATCTGCAAATGAATTATTTGTGTTAGTTTAGCAAGGTTCCTGCTGTCCTCGAGTTAATTCTGACTCACAGTGACCTATGAGTAGATTGCCCTATAGGGTTTCCAAGTGTAATCTTTACGGAAGCAGACTGCCACATCTTTCTGCTGAAAAAGAGCTGGTGGGTATGAACTGCTAACCTTTCAGTTAGCAAGGTTACAGGATACAAATCAATAAACAAGTCAACTGTGTTTCTCCACATAAGTACCAATCAGAAAATGATCATTTTAAAATGATACTATCTACAGCAGCTCTGATGGCACAGTGCCTAAGGCATCTCACTGCTAACCAGAAGGCTGCCAGTTCAAACCCACCAGCCACTCCTCAATAGAGACAACCAAAACCAAACTCATTTCTGTTGAGTCGATTTGATTCATAGCAACCCCTCTCCTTGGGTTTCCGAGGTGGTATCTCTACCCAACCTTCCTTCCGAGAAGTGGCTGGTGGGTTTAAACTTCCAGCTTTCTGGTTAGCAGTCAAATGCCTTAGGCAGTAGGTCACCAGAGCTCCCTCTGTAGAGATAATGCCTGGGAAACCCAAGGAGGGGTCGCTCATGAGTCAGAATCTACTCAAAGGCAGTGAAGTGTTTTATTTTTATCTACATCAGCAATAAAATAAGTAAGATATCAGAAATTAATATAACAAAAAAGTATGTAAGCAATTAATGGAGACATAAAATTATTCCCAAAAAATTAAAGAATACATAAATAAATGGATTGCTATACCACGTTCTTGGATACCAAAACCAAACCAAACTCACTGCTGCTGAGTGAGATCCGACTCACAGCGACCCCCAAAGGCAGTATCACTATGGAAATAGATTGCCCAACCTTCCTTCTGGGGAGTGGCTGGTGGGTTTGAACCGTCAGCCTTCTGGTTAGCAGTCCAATGCCTTAGGCACTAGGCCACCAGAGCTCCTTATTCTTGGATAGAAGTGTCAATTATAATAAATATACAGCAGTAGTAATTAAATCCCAACAGGATTTTAATTTTTTCAGAATTTGATAAACTGTACATGTTAGAGATATGCCACGCCATCTTGTGTGGCTCTTCCGGGTTCTTCTTCATTCCCTGCTGCCCCACCCAAGGTCGTAAGTCAGTTAAAGGGAAGTCCAAACTGAGCTTCCTGCAAGGCGCGAATTTTAAAAGGCAACATAGCCTCTGATAGGTTAAGACCTCTTCCCCCAGCTCTGATGTACAACCTCCTAACCCCAGGTCTATATAAGACCACCCTCTTCCTGCTCTTCCTCTTCTTCCTCTCTCTTCTTCTCTTTTTCCCTTCTTCCTCTTTCTTCTTCTCTTCTTCCTCTTCTCCTCTTCTTCCTCTTGTTCTTCCTCTTCTTCTTCTTCTTCTGTCCTTCCTCAGTGCAGGCACCCTTTCGCCTCCTTAATAAAATCTCCTGTTGGGTACCCTGGTGTGTGGTGTGGTCGTTGAGTGCCGACGGAGCTCTAACAGTACAGAATTTGATAAACTGTTAGAAACCAAGAAGAACATAGCAAAGATACTTCTGAAAAACCATACAGGACTTACCCTACCAGATAGCAAGATTTATTACAAAAGTATGGCTAGTAAGACTCGTGATCTCAGCATGGGAATAGAACAAGAAATCAAAAGAACTGAAAAGAGAGCCAAGAAGTCAGTCCACGTATATGTAAACTTCATTTATAACAGCTGGCATTACATTGGTAGGGGAAAGGATACATGGACCTGAAGCCAACTGGTTATCAACATGGGAAAAGATACGAAATTGGTTTCCTGCTTCACACCATACGTGAAAATCAAAAAGCAAAAGTACAGACCTTCTAAAAGAAAATATAGACTATCTCTGCAGCTTTTGGTACAGAAGCCTCTTAGACATGGCCAAAAGGTGCTAGCAATAGACAAAAGGATTAAGATGAGATTACAACACAATTAATATCTGTTCTTCAAAAGCTTCACGATTGTTCATGAAAACCCATCTGCCAGTAGGAATAGGAAATGACTTTACAAGTTGGCATCATGTTATCAAATTGAACAGACCTATATAATATGCCCCAGGAAGCCCACTCCCTGCATGTTGTTGTTGTTGTTATGTGCCTTCCAGTCGGCCCCGACTCATAGCGACCCCTCCTTGGGTTTCCGAGGCAGTTATCACTACGGAAGTAGGATTGCCCAACCTTCCTTCAGAGGAGTGGCTGGTGGGTTTGAACCGCTAGCCGTCTGGTTAGCAGGCAAGTGTCTTAGCCACTATGCCACCAAGTAACATATGTAAGATGTGTAGCAGTCAATCCTGGTGTTTGTACGATTACCTAAACATCCACCGAGGAGAACGAAAAAAGTGTCATGTGTCCACATAGAGAAATGAATAAACTATAACCTCATACATCAATATGGATAAATAGCAACACAGTGTTAACTGAAAAATGCAAATAAAAGAAATAAGTAGGGTCTAAAACCACCTCTATAAAGATCAAAAACATGCAAAATTAGATTGTATCAAGAAGCAGCATACAGGGAGCTCCCTGGCAATGGAAATCGTCTATTTCTTAAACTGGATAATGGGTTCACATTTGTTGGTTTTGCTTCTCATGTGTTTATATAAATTTTAGGTATCAAGTATTTAATATTTTTTGAAAGTAGTGAAAAGAAGTGCTGAATACATCTTTCTTCTAAAATATATCTAAATATTAAACAGTTATTACTTTGGAGGTAATATGGGGCTTTCATTTCCTATATCATCCGTTTTTGGACCATCAATTTGTTTTTTACACAATTAACATATACTATGTGCGTGTTTGGGGAAATATTACTGCAGAAAACAAATTACATAAAAATCTAGGGCCATTTAGTACAAAGGCCGTTTTTCTGTTTTCATTTTATATACACTTCTCCAGGTTGTTATAAATACTACATGCATCTGTATTTTCTATGCATGCATTTTCTGTACTAATCATTCCCGGCTTCATCTGCTTTTTACTACACTTATTTGTTTTGGGCCCATTTCTGCACTTTTCTTGTACATGTATTTTAAATAACGTAAACTGCCATAAATCCTTTTTGAAAAGAGGAATGTTGTAAATAAAGGAATGAGTCTCAATCCCGAAGGGTCCTCTTTTTCATTTTTTTCACAGACATTGAAGTGTGGTGCGCCCTTACGAGCTCCCAAATAAACAACTTGGGACTTCCGCAACCCCTCCCTGCCAGAGCGCAAGCTGAAACGGCCTTTGGGATCTACCACCTCTCTCCCCACCCGAGAACTGCCCAGGTGATAGGGCCTGCCCAGAGACATGGCTGAGCGAATAGCCCAGTCGAAGGAGAAAAGCTCCGCGGCTCCCAGCGCCCTCGAACGCCCGAGAGACAATCAGCTTGCTCCGCGGGGGTCGCTTCTCGCGGCTTCCGGGCCGTCATGTTCCCGCCCGCGACCCTGAGTCCAGAGCTAGGATCCTTACTTGCAGCTCTCCAGGTGGGGACCCAGACACTGCCGAGGCGCCCAGCAATGCCCAATACGGTCATGGCGCCGACTCCCGCAGCGTCTGTGCTGGCCCTGCCAGGGGAGGGAGCCGGCGGCTGCGTCTCGGGCCGCAGGACGCTAACAGGAACACTACTGGGCTGTGAGGGGCGTGGCCATGGGAGATGAGGCCTCGTCACACTGCACGGGGCGGTGGTGGGCGGGACCAAGAATCGGCCTACTTGGCTCAGGCACTGTTGGGAAAGAGGGGAGGGCCTTGTGAAGACACCAGAGCTGGGCTAGAACTCAGTTTTCTAACCAATAGCAACCAAAACGATCATCGAGCGCTGAATTTAGCCTCCTCAGCTCAGTGTTCATCAAAACCCAAGATTAAGCCTGGTTGGATAAAGGAGCAATTATCTTCATGCCTCTCACTCTGAGAAAAAAGGCCTCTTGGAAAACCCTTTTTACAGGATTCAAAATTGACTATTTTTGACTCCCCTCTTTTATGTTTTAAATCTGTTCAAAAACAGGTTTCTGTCGTGAAGTGGTACACGCAGGGCATCTACTGCTTTACGTGCAGAATCCACATCAAAAGATTGAGGAAGCGTAATTTTTGCTACTTGGGCCGCTGGTGATCTTGGGTCCTGGACCCCTAAAAACAAAACAACAAACTCCTTACCTGTTGGAAAGCTCCTAATTCGTCTGTTCTGACGTACGGATGGGTCAGACCTGAAGGTGACATCTTTGAGTGTTGTGCAGAGTAAAAAGGCTCTCTCCATCTAGACCAGGCTGCAGTGCAAGTAACTCTGCCAAATGGCCCTTAAATTCCAACAACTCCACTGGTGTTTGGAGTGTATGTGGCCATTCGAGATGCTTTATGTAACTTTTGGAAGTCCTATAGGACTTTTTTTAAGTTGTTGGTTAGTCACTGGGCCCTGGTAGCATCTAACCATGTGACATCAAGTGACCATGCAATCTAAGTTTTCATCATGAACTATCAATTATTTGGTCCTCGTAGATAAGGAAGGAACCCTGGTGGTGCAATGGTTAAGCCTTGGCTGCTCACTGAAAGGCTTTAAACCCACCAAACAGTTTTAGGGAGAAAAAAACGAAACTCACTGCTGTGGAGTTGGATCCTACTCATAGTGAACCCTCCTCCTTGGGTTTCCAAGGGAGTATCACTATGGAAGTAGATTGCCCAATCTTCCTTCTGAGGAGTGGCTGGTGGGTTTGAACCGCCAACCTTCTGGTTAGCAGTCAAATGTCTTAGGCACTATGCCACCAGAGCTCCCTCAGGGACAAAAGACCTGGTGATCCTCTCTGGCAAAGATAACAGCCAAAAAAAAAAAAAGAACCATGTGAGGCAGTTATACTTTGCCACATGGGATCACTGTGAGTCAGAATTGACTTGAGGACATCAAACTACAACCACCTGGATAAGGAGTATTTCCAAAAAGTGGAAGTGGCATATACAGGACAGGGCCAAAGCTAAGCAATATTCATGAACAGGTAGTTTATACTTCTACATTATAGTTCTTACCCTTAGCTTCTATCTACAGCTTAATGATGAATTCCTTGTGACCAGCTGACTGAAGAAAAACTTTAAAGATGTATTAAACATGGTTTCGCTTAAAATATGCTGACACGGCTGCCAGCAGTACTGCTTTGGCATTTAGAGCCCCATTTAGCAGAGCCCTCAAGGAACAGCAGAGAAAAATATCCTCCTAGAGGACAGAACTTAATTTATCTTGTACACTTTGCCTGAAAGGTGATATGGCCTGAGGTAAAGATCTGTATCGTTTCATGGACAGTGACTGATGGTTTGTCAGGGACTGTGTTGTGAAGGTTTTGGAATAGTTCTTTGAAGTATGAGCCCAAAGCATGAGAACATTTGTGTCCCACTGAATCCTCAAAGATTCTCATTCCAGAAGGGCTCTTATACAGAACAAGATGACTGAATGAGTTATCCATGGCTGCCTAACAAGTTATACTAAAATTTAGTAGATTAAAATGACAAACATTTATGGCTCACCTTTTTTGTGGGTTAGGAGTCCAGGAGCCATGATGCCTCTGGTGTAAGGTCTTTCAGAATGTTGCAAACTCCAGGCTGGGCTCCAGTCTCTTATAAAAGGCAGCCAGAAGAGGAGCTGTTTCTAAGTTCATGCAGATGATAATTGGCAGGATTTGGTTTTCTCAGGCTTTGGCCCAGAAATCTCCCTCAGTTCCTTGCTACGTGGCTTCTCTAAAGTTCAGCTTAGAAGATGGCAGTAGGGTTTCTGCAGAATGAATAAGAGAGCAAGAGAGAGTGCTCAAGATGGAACCTAGTCTTTTTGTATTCTAATCTTAGAAGTGACATCCCACCAATTTTGCTGTATTCTATTAAAAGTGAGTCAACATGTTCAACCCACACTCAAAAGGAGGGGCATGAACACCAGAAGGTAGAGAGATCTTCAAAGGCCATCTTAGAGTCAGCCTCTTTCCCCTGCACTGAGGAAGAATGGAAAAATGCATGTACTTTTCACAGTCTTTTCTTCTGCCAAGGCTGACTAGCTAGCAACATACTTGCCAACGGCCATGACCAACCTGATTCCCTAATGTAGTTTAAGATAGCCTAGGTAGCAGGTTTGATTGGATCCCCAATCAACAGCAATGGAAGCACCAGTCAACTAATTAGATGATGTATTGCAGTGGGCAAATCTGCTGCAAATGACCTCTTTAAAGTGCTAAAGAACAAAGATGTCTCTTTGAAGACTAAGGTGTACCCAACCCAAGCCATGGTATTTTCAATCACCTCATATGCATGTGAAAGCTGCACCATGAATCAAGAAGACCAAAGAGGTGATGCTTTTGAGTTGTGATGTTTGCGAAGAATACTGAAAGTAACATGGACTGCCAGAAGGAACAAATCTGTGCTGGAAGAAGTGCAGTGGAATTCTCCTTGGAAGTGAGAATGGCCAGACTTCATCTCTCCCACTTTGGTCATGTTGTCAGAAGGGACCATTCCCTGGAGAAGGACGTCATGCTTGGTAAAGTGGAGGGGCAGAGAAAAAGGCAAAGACCCTTGATGAGATGAATTGATACAGTGGCTGCAACGATGGGCTCAGGTATAGCAAGGATTGTGAGGCTGGTCCAGGACTGGACAGTGTTTTGTTCTGTTGTACACAGGGTTGCTGAGTTGGAGCTGACTTAACAGCACCTACCAACAGCAGCAGGTCTGATTACATCATCATGAAGGGGATAGCAATTAGTAGGAACAATTAGTAGGTACAGTTATTCTGGATTTAGACTGCTTTCTTTGTTCCTTGTATATACTCCGCCTGTGGACTTACTGAATGTCCTATATGCCATACACCTTATACACCAGCCCACACATTACTTCTTAACAAAAACTAAATTTCCTGTGTAATATTTAAAGTGTGGATTGATACCGGTCTTTACATTCCATTATCTAGAAGCAACTGGTCTTATAGAATGACGGACAGACTTATTGAAGGTGTAGCTTTAGAACAGGCAAGTAAATGCACTTTGGGATGCTTTCTTAAAGGACTTGGCTTATGCTCCAAACAACTAACAGTATTCGGTATTATCTCTTGTTGCCTGAGTAACAGGATCAAAAGAGTAGGATTGGTGCCTATTACTTCTGACGTCCATGTATTTGGTCGGCCATGAGCCCTGAGCATCCCAGCATATTATTGCTGAGTGTGCCAGAGTACAAACCTCATTTATCCCTTGATCCTGAGTAGTTTCTGTAGCTAGTTATATAGGTAACTAAGTAGGTCAAGGCAACCACAGGCTGACTACCATTTACCTGCTGCTTCCCTAGGGAAGAGGGTCTGGCTTGTTTGCCACTTGCTGAAATGTTTGCTGTTTATTAAAAACTGCTTGGCAGTTGACCCTGAGTTCTCCTATAATGCAACCCACCATGTATATAAGTGTCATTTGGCCTTCTGCATTGCACAGTGGGAGTTGGGGCTACAGGAACCAGTGCAAATATGCTGACACTCTGGCTACAACTTTCACTGTAATACAGACTTATCTTTGACCCAGGAGTATCCTGTACAGCATCCATGACTAAAGCAAGCTAACTTAAGAAAGTAGGGCACTCTCAGACCGTCACACATCTTGCCATCCATCTTCATGATTCCAGTTTCTGTTGCTGTTAACAAGTTTAGCACCTAGAGCAGGAGTGCTTCCACTAGGGGACACAATGCTGTTTTCCCTAAATTTAGAAGCTGAGACTGTCCCCTTGAAATTATTAGCTCATTCTCCTAGAAAAAGTTAAAAAAAAAGCACTTATGGTGCTAGCTGGAGTGGCTGGTCCTCAAAGTCCTCAAGGAAAAGGGAGTAGGGAGAGGATCATGACTAGAACTCAGGGATCTGGAATAATTCCTCACAATATCATACTGAATTGTAAAAACCGGGCAAACACTAATTGGGCAAAACACCCAATGCTGAGATCTTTCAGATCCATGGGTTGCACATTAGATAAAGAAATCGATTAGTTGAGCCACTAATTTAATACAAAAGACACAGAGAATGGATGGCAGTCGTGCTAGACTCATAACCAGTGGCAGAACTGAGGGCTGTACTTACCAGAGGAACTTCTTATCAAAGAAGTTTAAAACATGCTGCTACCTGTATCCTAGAAGCCCTGGTAGTGTAGTGCCTAAGGCACTTGACTGCTAACCAGAAGGCTGGTAGTTCAAACCCACCAGCCACTCCTCGGAAGGAAAATTGGGCAATCTACTTCCATAGTGATACTGCCTCAGAAACCCAAGGAGGGGTCGCTGAGCTGGGTCTGACTTGAGGGCACATTAACAACAACACCTGCACCCTATCCTGGAGATTTATTGAGTTGTCCTGGAATAGAGCCCTGGAATTTGTATTTTTAACATGTACTTCAGGTGATTCTCTCCAAGAAAGGTTGCAAAGCACTGGTCTACCTGTATTTCCTTCCTTACTGGGTCATGCATGTTTGTACATTTAACTAATTTCCCTTTTCCTTCCTAGCTTATAACACTGCTCTATAAGGAGATAGAAGTTAGGGCATGATTTTGTCTGCAGGTTGCAAACTATTGAGACAAGATCATTACAGAACCAGAGGAGAAATGGACATCACACAAAGGACTGGAATTGGGGCTGGACGGAGAGATAGTGGTAGACAGCATTTTAAATGGGTAAATATGGTAAGAATGGTGTACATGGAAGTTGGAAAGCCAGAGATGGACTAGAGTAGATCTGTGATGTTTTTATGTTTTTTGCTTAGTCATCAAACTCATTTCATATGTCTGTAGAATCTGTTTTTTATGCCTGAGAACTCAACTGCTGGCACAAGATAAAGCTTGGTCAATTGGACATTTCCATCAGACTCCGAATATGGAATGAGTGATACAAGTAAGTGTTTGGAATCTGATTTTCAGAGGCATCTTAGCCAGCAGAAGTATACACAAATCTTCCAGCTCTTCTTGAGTGGCCCTTGGCTAGGAGTTTGGTCATCTAGCTTCCTTTTATATCTGTTTTCCAAACCTGGGCTCTCCAGCCTTTTCATCAATTCTGTGAGCTATCTGATATTCTCCCAATAAATTCTTCTTCTGGTTAATAATTTCTTTCTTTTGTTTGCAACCAAGAATATTCATTGTATATACTTTAATGAGATGCATTCTCTAAGAATCAATTATACTGTTTCAGGTAATCATCATCCCCTCCACCTGAATTTGGAGTTGAACAGGTAAATCAGAAGTCAAAGCTCTTATATTTTAAACCATGATAATTGATATGATTTTAAAACTGTATTAAAACAACCACCAACAAACCAATCGACTTGATCATAAGGACTATTTACCTTTAAACACTATTTTTCTATTAACATAATTATGAGTAAGTACAACCTTTGATAAATCCAGATTATTCAAACTTAGAATAAACATAATTATTTCAAACTCAGGGCCAAGGTAAGTGAAGATGAAAAATGAAAGTTGAAAAATGTGTGTGGATAATGCATAAATTTCCAGTTATAATGCACTTGGTATATTATCACTTAGACAATTTATGAATCTTCAAGTACTTTTTAAAAAGTAAATAATTATGGAGAGCAATCAATGAAATACCTTTCAACTACCTGATATATACAAAAGATGAAAATAATAAAAATACTTTATACATAGGTTATAAGTTATACAATCATGCTGGCTATAGAGTTAATTGATATAATCTTTTCAAATTATAAATAAAAATATATACCCCTAATATTCCAAAAGTAAGCAAAGGCTTGCAAGTGTTTTAGCTGCTCCTCTAGATAGTCATTTTGTTCATTTATTAACACCAGAAGCAATAACACAATGCTAAAAATAAACATGCACCAATTTATACAATACATAAAACCTGTCCATCACAACTGGTGAATGCAAACAGAACCTCTATCTACCATTAGTGCTTTATTATTTTCACAAGTGAAAGAAGAAAGGAAAATAGTCATTTTAATGCTATTCAGCACCTTTAGTAAAGTCAAAAGACTCAACATCTAAATATATCAAAAACTTTTGCATCAATATCACCAAACATGTAAAGTTAATTATTTTGCTCCATTTTAACATGAATTATTTTATTTACATTACTTCAGTTCAATAAATTTTAACAATATTTAAAAATTATTTAAATTCATAAAAGTATTTCAGAAATTTCAACCACTGTTGTATGTACATACAAGGGAATTCATGAAAAAGTAAAAGAAATGTAGTCAGAAAGTTCAAGCAACATTACCAAATTTAGCAAAATTCCAACCAAATCAAAGCAGAGAGCATTCAAACATTCAAAAATATTTATATGATGCTACCATGACCATGAAAAGCTCCAGTAATAAAAATCAGTATGAGAAATAATGTTGAAATAACCAGTAGAAAATATATTTTAATAGGCATGACAATATGTTTTATAGCAACAATGACTTTATAGAAAATTTTAATAACATTGTCATATATGAACTACTTGGTTTGATCATATAATAAAGGTACATTTTAGGGCTACAGATATTGATTTCAAAAAATATATTTTAGCAGCCATTTTATTTCCAGTTAAAACATAGTAAAATGCTAAACGCAAAACTTATAATTAACTAAATAATACCTCAATATTAGAAAATTCAAAATCCCATGCTATTCTAGCAATAATGGACTCTAATATGATGTAATCTGATGTAAGAATTGTGGAAAGTCAATAATAATTTGATGTACATGTGGGCTTAAAGTTTCACTGAAATATTTAGGTAGCAAAATATATGAAAAAGTAATAGAAAAGTAAAAAGATAAAATTAAAAAAATATTGCACAGCCACATTACCTAGAAAGTAAAGTTGTTGATGTTTTAAAAAGCTCTAAACTTGGATGATATAAATTATCTTCCATATAAAAAGGTATAAATATTTCTTAGAACTTATCAACATCTACAGTTTAATATAATACATTATTTGAATCACTGTTGAATGAGGTAATTGTCAAGTCTCTTAACAATGCTTTTATCCTACTGGAAATATTTGAGGGCAGCAACCAGAAAGAATTTTTCTAAAAATATTTCTGAATCAAGAACAGCTATATGGGCAGCTCTTCCAATTAGTGAATCAGCTGTATTGGGCAATGCATTAATGACATTATATCGAACCAAATTACAGTCCTTGCTTTGCAGAACTGGGTGAAGCAAGTTATGGATCATTTCGGAATAGAATTGTCCTATGGAACAAACAGAAAAAGAAAATCAGTTCACATCAGTAACAAAAAAAACAAAAAACAAAAAAACATATGTCCACATTTTATATAACTTATAAAATTTAATTACACACTAAAGAATAATGTAGAATCTGCAAAACACTGCATAACATGGATGAACTTGGCGGACGTTATGCTGAGTGATATAAGTCAATCACAGAAGGACAAATATTGTATTAGTTCATTATCATAAAAAGTCAAGGAAAGATTTATTTATGGAAGGAAACGTTGGTTGCCAGGGGTGGGACACTGGTGGTGCAGTGCCTAAGGCATTTGACTGCTAACCAGAAGGCTAGCAGTTCAAACCCACCGGCCACTCCTCAGAAGGAAGATTGGGCAATCTACTTCTGTAATGATACCACCTGGGAAACCCAAGGAGGTGTCACTATGAGTGAGATGTAACTTAACAGCAGTGAGTTTTTTTTTGGGGGGGGGAGGGGAGGAAGGAGGGAAACACTGCAAAAAAAAATTTTAGTTACATCATTTCCATTTAAACAAAAAAAACTTTTGTTAATGTTTTATTTTTCTTTGACTCCCATTTTTTTGAGATGGTTTAATGGAAAATATAAGTAATCACATTATGTATCTAGCTAAGTAAAAGTAATAAACTTACTATATATTACTCTTGCTAATTTGATTATTTTTAATTCAAAGCAACACATATAACAAAGCAAATAGTCTTCTTTAATGTTAAGTCCATTATGACTCATGAAACCACTATGAAAATAATAAGCTATCAACAAAATCCTAGTCAACAGACTCCAACAACATATCAAGAAAATCATTCATTATGACCAAGTGGGGTTCATATCAAGGTATGCAGGGATGGTTCAACATTAGAAAAACAATCAATGTCATCCACCACATAAATAAAACAAAGGAGAAGAACCACATGATTATATCAATTGATGCAGAAAAGGCATTTGATAAAATCCAACACCCATTCCTGATCAAAACTCTCAGCAAAATAGGAATAGAAGGGACATTCCTCAACATAATAAAGGGCATCTATGCAAAACCAACAACCAACATTATTGGAGAGAGACTGAAACCATTCCTCTTGAGAACAGGAACCAGACAAGGATGCCTGCTATAACCACTACTTTTTAACATTGTACTGGAAGCCCTAGCCAGGGCCATAAGGCAAGAAAGGGAAATCAAAAGCATCCAAATTGGCAAGGAAGAACTCAAACTATCCCTGTTTGCTGATAATGTGATCCTCTACCCAAGAGAAAACCCAAAAGACTCAGTTAAAAATCTACTGGAACTAATTGAGAGATTTAGCATCATGGCAGGATACAAGATCAACATCCAAAAATCCGTTGGATTCCTCTACACCAGCAAAGAGATTGCTGAAAAAGAAATAAGGAAATCAATACCATTTACAATAACTACCAGAAAAATAAAATACTTGGGAATAAATCTCACCAGGGACACAAAAGACCTGTACAAAGAAAACTATAAAAAACTTCTTCAAGAAACAGTAAGAGATCTACATAAAAGGAAGAAGATCCCATGCTCATGGATAGGAAGACTGAATATTAGGAAAATGTCAAATCTACCCAAAGCAATCTATACATTCAATGCAATCCAATCCAGATCTCATCAACATTCTTTAGGGATATGGACAAACCAATCACTAACTTTATATGGAAAGAGACTTCAGATAAGCAAAGCACTATTGAAGAACAACAACAAAGTAGGAGGTCTCACACTGCCGGATCTCAAAACGTACTATACAGCCACAGTAGTCAAAACTGCCTGGTATTGGTTTAATGACAGATACACAGACCAATGGAATAGAATTGAGAACCCAGAAATAGATCCATCGAACTATGGTCAGCTATGACCATATGATCTTTGATCTATGATCTTTGACAAAGGCCCAAAATCCATTAAATGAGGAACAGAATGTTTGTTTAATAAATGGTGCTGGCAAAACTGGAGATCCATTTGCAGAAAAACGAAACAAGATCTGTACCTCACACCAGACACAAACACGAACTCCAGATGGATCAAAGACTTAAATGTGAAACCTAAAACTATGGAGTTCCTCAAGCAAAAACTAGGGGCAAATTTAGAGGCCCTAATATATGGCATAAATAGACTATTAAGCATAACTCAAAATGCACAAACAGCAGAAGAGAAACCAGATGATTGGTACCTTCTAAAAGTTAAATTTTTGTGTGCTTCCAAAGACTTCTCCAAGAGTCAAAAGAGAACCTACAGATTGGGAAAAAATATTTGGTAATGACATATCTGACAAGGGACTTATCTCTA